GGGGGGGGGGGGGGGGGGGGGGGAATGTGCATGGAAACTATGATGAAATCTTGGTTTGCAGAGAAGAAATCTTGGCATATATATGGACCATAGTTTTTCAAAGATACGAAAGGACTGGACTTATGATCCTTTGCCTTTAGTTCCAACGTCATTACGTGGTCCTCATGGGAAAAAAAAAATCACTTATCACATGTTTTGTTTGTCATCGGTAAAATTATGATGCAGTGTCGTGGTGAAAAAAGAACGTCATATGTTTCACGAAATAAGGTTATACATATTTGATTTTTTTTTTTTAAATTAGGCATGATAGTTTTAAATAGAGTCTATGAATTGATACGAAATTAACGAGAGTTTGAATTAAATTTTAACGGGTGTAAGTGATAAATGATTGAATGAGTTGATCTTAAACCCGATGAAAATAAAAAAAGAATCAATTAAATATGACTTATATATAATTTATACATGATGTGCGTGCAAGATCCTGCACAATATAAAAAACGAGAACAGATCTCTCCCTTGGTGAACTCGAGTGAGCCGGTGGAGTGACCAAACACGCTGCTTAGGACAGCCTGCAAGGTACGGTGGTAACCTGGAACAGCAACGGGAGACCCTGGGAAAGGAAGAGCGANGTAACCTGGAACGGCAACGGGAGACCCTGGGAAAGGAAGAGCGATCCTGTAAGGCTGAAAGAGGTTCCTGGAACAAAGAAGAACAAGTTAGAAGGGCGCCGGAGTGTTTTCCGGCGTATCCCCTCCGACGATCTAGTCAGTCTTTGAGAGAGAGAGAGAGGATAGAGAAAACACTGAGTGCGTATTGTAGTAGAGAGTTTGTTGTTGCATACCCGCTTTGCCTTTTGCAAGAAGTATTTATACCTTAAAAGCTCATGATTGCTGTCAGTATTGTCNCATCACATGATATAAATGAATCTGATTGTACACAAATACTAATACATAAGGTATAAATTTAATAAATTTTAACATAATACAACTTACACATAACATAAATATGGCACGATATGATTCATGGACAGTTATGGTGGTGCGAATCGACGGAAAACTTATACACTAGGTTATCTTTTATCTGTTCTTACGCGAATGTCTTGTCTAAGATTCCAAAACCACCCACAGTTTTGTTCATTCTTGTGGGCCTTTTCAGAGACCAAACAGCTGTCTTATTGTCCCTTTGATCGTGATCGAACATTTCAAGTTCTACCCCATTTTGATTCTTAGATATAATATAGTATCTGCTTGCTTGTCTGTTTCTTGTTTTAGGAATGAATGGAGGCCAGAATTAGGTGAGCAACTTTAGGGTCTTTGAAAGTTGTCATGTAAAAGCATCATTTTTTTTGTTTTTTAATCGTGGTTAGACTTCTTTATCAAAAAATAATTTTTTTTTTATCTAATCAAGATGTCACACATGAGTATAAGATAATCCAAATCAAGATCAAAGAATACAAATTATTTTTTAACGTGATATCGACTTTTTATATTTTAATTTCATAAGCATTGTTCTTTTGATTGAGATGTGTCAGAGGTACCGTGGAGGAGCTATCAGTCAGATTTTTTCCTTCATTCTAAGATTTTGTTTGCAGGTATTTAGGCCTACATGTAAATCTGCAAAGTCAAATTTTAACTACATATATAATTACTAAGCACATCTCTTGTCCCATGAAATCTCTCTTTCACTCTTTTGACACTTCCATGTTTTCTAATGAGTCCATTGATGGCTTTGAAGTTTTTCTTATTATTTTATAACCATAAATAAAAGCTAATCTAAAGTATCAACCATCAGGGACGGAGGAGTTAGAATTTGTCATAGGGTGCCGACTAATTAAGAGTTGTATTAAAAAAAACATATTGTAGTAATATATATTTAGGGTAATAATACATGAATATCGCATATATAATAATCTTATATCGGATAAAAAACAAAAAAAATATAAAAGTTTTAAGTGGGTATACATCTCGAACATGAATATTATTAGACTTTTTGTATCATTGAACTCTTGAGCGTAGATGATCAACTCTCCGAAAAATAATACCGTGTATCCACAATAACGACGACTCTCAAAAAAATGATGAAGTCTTAGTATTGAAGTTATGAAAGTGCAGGACAGCTCTCTGGGACCAAGAGCTCGAGGAATGCTGAATGCGATGACTCGTCAAATCCAGTGGACTAAGCCTTTTTTACTTTTTTTTTAACTCGTGGTTAAAAGCAAGGTAGTATATATATGACCACTATAGATACATATGCCCCTCATGAAGTTAAAAACTTGAATAAAAAAATAGTATATATATGACCACTATTTCATTAAAAAAATTAATGCATTCTAGAAGGTAATGTAAGACAGAAGAACCACGAAACTTCTATGAAAGAACACAGGAAACTTCATGGGCAACTAAAAAAAATTGCCCTTTCACACCTGCCTAAACAAGGACAATTAGGTTTCAAACCTACCAACAAAAAAAAAATGGAAAAGGAGCAGCCAGTGGTCGGTCATGCTAGACCTTTTTTGGAATATATGTGGAAAAAACACTTTTCATTTTCTTTTTTTTCAAAAAAAGGATAAACCCAAATATTTAGATTAAGGTATTGCAAATATTACGACTCAATCCAATCAAATTACCATTTTAATATTCTGGAAAAATCAATCATAAAAATATTAAAATCCGTCACCAACCATTCGAGTTGATCTTAATCAATTCTGTCGGATCGTAAGTGGGTTCATTTCGCAATCAAAAATTGTTGATAACAAAGTTCTTATCTTACATTGATCATATTGGGACCATTATTAGATATAAGAGAGATATAAAAACGTACTATATGAGTACAATTATGTATATGCATGCTTCTGTGTACTTTCACATACATTACATGTAGAGAAGTAGAGATAGTCTTGGGTAAGTTTTGCATAGAGGAGGATCGATCTCCTGGAAGGAAATTTACACTGTGTTTGGTTGGAAAGAATGTTGGATTGATGGAAAATAGTAGGTGAAAAATGGAATGGATGGAAAGGTTTTTCACTGTTTAGCATCAAAGGAAAGAATGATGAAAAAAAAATTGGAGGGACAACTTTTCTCTCCTGCCNTAAGATAATCCAAATCAAGATCAAAGAATACAAATTATTTTTTAACGTGATATCGACGCTTTATATTTTAATTTCATAAGCATTGTTCTTTTGATTGAGATGTGTCAGAGGTACCGTNCGGGGACCGAGGGAGGTATGCCGACCGAGGTACATATCAGACCGAGGCCACGTGTCGTTTGTAAAATATACTGAATGTATGATCCTATATGACGGTACCTCGGGGGTGAGGACCTTCGTGCGCCGATNTTAAAATGAGAGGAAGGCATGATAAATTGACTTTTTAAGGGTTATTTTACTTTTTTACCATTTACTATTAATTACTTAGAAATTAATATAAGGGTAGAATTATAAATTGAGCATGCATATTTTTTCTTTCATTTTATTTTTTATCTAATACCAAATGATGAAAAATATATTTTTTTTACTTTTTATCCCTCTTATTAAAAAAAAATAAAAAAAATAATTTTCTTTTCTTTA